CCCCAAAACCCCAAAACCCCAAAACCCCAAAACCCCGTAAGACTATTCAACGCAATTAGTAAAATTAATGAGCTGTAATAGTCAGAATTATCAAAATAAACATAGTATATATCACTTTTCAAGATATGAATTAACTATATTTAATACATTTAAATTAAAATGGGTCCATACCTTACAAGTCCTAAAAAAGAGAAAGAAACAGAAAACGGTGAAAATCTAAAAGTACCATAATTACTTTGTCCTCAACTAACACTTTTAATAGGTGAAATTCGGTGCTTGCGGAATGCAAGGATGGAGAAACACTATGGAAGATTCACATATAGCTTCTATTGCTTTAGATAACAATGTTTAAGTCTTTGGTGTTTTCGATGGACATGGAGGTAAATCTTTCCAACTATTTCAATCCTTAATTATCATAACTCTATCTAGGCCGTGAGGTTGCATTATATGTAAAAGATATATACATAAAGGAGCTTACAAAACTCCAATCGTTCAAAAATAAAGATTACAAAACTGCTCTTGAGGAATCATTTATCAGGATTGATGATATATTGAAATCACCATAGGGCGTGAAAGATATTAAAAAATATCAGGCATCAGATGACACTCAATCTTCTCTTTTTGGCAGACCAGAGACCGATAATATCGCTTTATATACTGGATGCACAGCCTGTGTAGCACTAATTACTGAGAATGAAATTTATTGCGCTAATGCAGGTGACTCAAGATGTGTCCTCAGCAATAATGGAACCGCTGTTGAAATGAGTATCGACCATAAGCCAGATCTTTCTACAGAAAAAGCTAGAATCGAGAGAGCAGGTGGATTTGTAGAGGAGAATAGAGTTAAAGGTGTATTGAACTTATCTAGATCCCTAGGTGACTTAGAATATAAACAAGACAGAAATATTGGAGTGGAGAGTTAGATGATTACATGCGTACCTGAAATAAAGGTGGAAAGAATAACAAATAATAATGATTTCTTGATTATTGCCTGCGATGGAATCTGGGATTGTTTAACATCACAAGAATGTATCTCTATGTGCAGAGACTATTTCGATAGTACAAAGGGCAAGGGTAATCTAAGTAGTTGCATTGAGTAAATGTTCGATAAAATTATTGCATCAGATGTAGCTTCTTCAGGTAACAAAAGATAATTTGATCTAAAATTGTATAGGTGGAATCGGTTGTGATAATATGACTGCAGTATTGATTCAATTAAAGCATTGAAGAGAATAAGCAGCATTTTGCTTATGAGCTGCGGTTTGCTCGAGGTATATGTATATCTAATGTCAAGTCCACAAGACATTCATCTACATATATTAATTATCTATAAGAAAGTTTTTTTAATAATTATATAATCTCTCTTTTGTCTAAAATAATTTAACTAAAAATTACTTAAATCTTATCTAATCAATCTAATCCTCCCACTTCAACTTTATGTCTTCATCTTAAAATTTATTTATTAAAAGTGAATCAGGAGCACAATTATTTAAAAAAAGAGATACAAATTCATGAAGTCAGAAGAGATTCCTTAAGTCTAATTCATAGTCCAAATTAATCCGATGAGTATTTTAGCATACTTGGATATTCTATTAAAATATAATTGATTGATAATAATAATAAGTTATAAACTCAGTTTGTTTATCCAAACAAAAATCCCTTTTTACATGTCCAATTTAAGCAAAAATCCTATCCAAGATGTTACATCTACCTAGGAAGCATTCTTTCAGCCAAGTTCAATACCTACTCTATTCAATACGCCAAAGTTTTGTTTCACAGCTCGTGACATAGTACCTTTAAATCTTGATGACTTGATCAATGAGAGTTAGATATAAGATGTCAAAAACTTATAAAATATGAACCTTAAAATGCAATTACCTAATCCATTAAGTAAATTATTATTCTATATGTCACCAATAACCCCTATACATAGATAAGCTTTCAATTTTATCTCTTTTATCTGCGTCATAAAACGAAGGTTCAGAGAAGGATCGTACAATCTCAAATGACACTGTGGGTCTCAACTCTACCGTAATTTACTTCAATTTTTCAAAGTACTAAATAGACTGATTTGTCTCCTCGTTAAGCCTAAAATAGCTTCAACAAGTCTTAAGAGGAAAAAACATTCTCTCCCTTCAAACTAATTGACTTCAAGGAGAAATTAATGCCTTTATCTACACAAAAACCCACACCTAATTAAGGAATATTCACCTAAGATGATAAATAACTATCTCAAAACCCAATTAGAAGGAATTTGTTTAATCAGCAATAACCCTTGACCCCAACATCATCATCAAATGATCGTACTTTAAGAGATATTAAAAATTTCAATTTTATTGGCAAAGTTGGAGAGGGTGCATATGGTGTCGTATGGTCTGCACTTCATACCCCTTCTCAAAGGCTTTATGCAATAAAAGTTATTCAGAAAAGTCGTGTTGAAAAGGTATTATATTTTATCTCTTCTGATCATTATATAGTTGGATAAAGTTCATGAGATCCAAAATGAAAAGAATCTGTTGTCAAAAATATCTCATCCAAACATTGTGAAGCTTCATTCAACATTCACTGATTAGAAAAATGTATATATGGTACTAGATTATGCGATAAATGGCGATTTCTCGTAATATCTCAAGCTAAATAGTAAAATGTTTGCCATTAAAAATACATTTTAGAGATTTTAACAGAAAAATAGGCACAGTTTTATATTGCTTAATTAATCAACATCTTGGGTTTTCTTCGTAGTAAAAACATCATTCATAGAGATTTGAAGCCCGGAAATATACTTTTTGATGATAGATGGCATCTTATCTTAGCAGACTTCGGCACTGCAAAATAAATTTAAAATAAAAGTTCTGTTTCAACTCCTAATAATGATACTAATTCAAGAACTAATGACATTAGTAATAATGAGCAGGATGTATAAAATTTCTCTCAAGCAATTAAGAGAGGTGCATCATCCGCAAATGATATGATTAGAGCAAACTAATCAGCAGATCAGATTTCTAATAATATGGATGAGCTATTAAGTAATAATGATATTGAATAGGAGAGTAAAGGATCCTTTGTAGGAACTGAAGATTATGTTTCCCCAGAGATAATTAATAATGAGGAACCTAGTTTTGCCTCTGATCTATGGTCACTTGGTATCATCATTTACTAATTATTTACTGGTAAGACTCCTTTCAAGGCAATGTCCCCTTACTATACATTTGAAAATATTCTTGCTTGCGAGTATAGCATTCCTGATTCAGTTCCAATGAGAGCCCAGAGTTTGATTAAGGATTTATTAGTTATAGATAAAACTTAAAGACTTGGAGCAGGGGAATAAGGGGAACCAAATAGTATGGAAGCTTTGAAAAGTCATCCCTTCTTTGAAGGTATCAACTTTCAATAATTACATACTTAATAGGCCCCAATTGATTCAAGGAAGGTTATTCAGAGTCCAATGAAGCAGTAACTTATGTAATATATGCCATAAACTAAGGCTAAGAACCTAACTCAGGAATTTACAAAATATGAAAGTTAATAATAACCATGTAGCAATACCAATAATAATGCTAGAATCAGAGATTTTTCAGATCTTGTACGACTATAGAAGCTACCTAGCTAGTAAATATAACCAGATCATATCGTTGATATAAGCAATTTGAAAATTATCAAAGCATAATCAACTAATAATTTTGATAACCTTACCTCTGTCTCAAATAAATCCTCTCCTCATGAAAGCCCTATGTAAAGAAAATCAATTAAAAAGACTGGCTCATCAAATGACTTAAGATAGCATCTTAAACATCCCTTATTTAAGTCTCATGCCGCCCCTTTGAAATACGGATCATCAACTACATCAGAACTAAATTTTGATGATTGTATGGAGTGCATGTAGATGTGGAAAGAAAAGAAGTCTGAAATGGTAAAAAAGAAGACAAAATTGATATTCTATGCCGATAGGCTTATCAAATTTTATGAAAATGGCTATTTCGCCTATTATACATCCAAATCAAACAATCTTAAAGCCTGTCATGGTCCAGGCGACATTATTTCATGTGTTTTAGAAAGAAAAGATAAGCTCAAGCTTAGTACTAAGACCAAAAGTTACAAATTCAAATTTAACAGTAGTAAAGCAGCAAAAGAATGGGTAATCTTGATCAATCAATCATTACAAAGAAGGACAATATTATGAATTTGAAAGAAAAAATCCTTTACTATGATAAATCTATACGTACTTGAACCCTTATGTATAGAAAAGTTTAGTATCCCCATCATTTGCAACCTCATCAAGATGTTGGCTTACCTCAAATTTCCTAATATCATGGCTGAGATACAAGAGAAGACTATGATTTAACTTGTAAAAATATGCTAAAATTGTAGTACTAGTTCATAAATTCATAGAATTGAGCTTAGTATTTCAGCTAGTAGATAAAATAAGGAGAATTGAGGGAGTCTATATCTGTGAGGATATAAAAATTAAGATATCTAAATTTTGATATGAATCATTTTCCTCGTCGTAATTTATCTTTTCTATTTGCCACAAGTTTATTCAGTTTCTTGGGGTTTTGGGGTTTTGGGGAGATCGGAAGAGCGTCGTG